ATTTAGCCTGCGTTGCACGATGTGTTTTGGCTGCCCTTTGCTTGCTGGGAATTTCCAGATGGCAGGCTTCTCCGTCCAGCTGCAGCTTTCCTCCATCCTGCACACAATGGTAGGGTTGCTGCACCGCCCAGCTTCCCATGTATCATACACGATGCGATCGTCCTCTACTACCACACTCTCTTAACTCCATGCATTCATATGTATAATTTAGCCTGCGTTGCATGATGTGTTTTTTCTCCCTAAGTGCTGCCCTTTGCTTGCTGGGAATTTTGAGATGACACCAAGAAGCCTCGTCCAGCAGCAGGTTTCCGCCGTCCTGCACACAGCAACTTCTGCAATGAACATGCTCCTCTTGCACTCCACCACCTCTATCTGTGGCCTTCGCTTCTTGCTTGCTGGGTGCCCGGGTGTGTGCAAATAACGCCATGGTTGGTCAGCTGCCCAGCTCCGCATGTACCATCCTCGATGTGCTCGTCCTCTACTACACTCTGTCAACTCCGCGCTTTATTATGTGCTTACTTGCGTGCTTCTTGCTTGCTGGGTCTTCCGGTTGAGGTCTACACCCAGATGCATGCCTGTTGTGCCTGATGTGCTCGATGTGTATAACGCTCTCTCATGAGGGCCTTCTGCTTTCCTTCCAGCTGCATTCCCACGCCCACTCCAGTGTGCGGCCCTTGTGTGTTTCCCTGTCTTTTCAGGTGCATGGCCTCTCCTCCAGGGTTTAGGGTTTAGGGTTTAGGGTTTGTGAGCAGGGCATGACTGTGTGGTGCGACTCTGCCCCTAGCGTGCTGGAAAACCCCTCGTTTCTTTACGCCAAATGCATCGTTTTGGAGATCATAAATAACCAGACAGTTAAATTAAGGGAAATCGCCGAACCAGGCAAAGAGGTTAGTCCCGCTGCTGCTGCTGCTGCTACTGCTGCTGCTGCTGCTACTGCTGCTACTGTGTTTGGCTGGCTGCTGCTATTTATGATGCGACTGCCCCCACCTCTGTTGCTGTTTGTGCTGCTGCTGCTGCTACTGGTGTCTGCGTGTGGCTGTTGCTGCTCTGCGGTTTGCTGTTTTTACAGGTGCTGCTGCTATTGCTTCCCTGCTGCTCCTGCTTCCCTGCTGCTCTTCCCTAGTGCTTCGCTGCTGCTTCCCTGGTGCCGCCTCCCTGCCGCTACTGCTTCTCTGCTGATACTGCTACTGCCTCTCTGCTGCTGCTGCTTCTTTGCTGCTGCTGCTTGCCTGCTGCTCCCCTGCTGCTTCCCTGCTGCTGCTTCCCTGCTGCTGCCGCTGCTGCTGCCGCTGCTGCTGCTGCTGCTAGCGTTTGCTTCTGCTGAGCCCTGTGTTGCGAGCAGTTTGTCTCGAAGTGTTAAGCAAACCGCAGCTCTCGCTGCAGTGGTATATTTGCGAGGGCTTCAGATTTGGGTCTTTTGCCGCACCCAAATGCTGCTTCAGTGCTGGAGATGCTGCGGGCCCGTTACATGCAAGACGCCATTTACGTGAGCAGCAGCAAGCAGCAGCACACTGCAGCAGCAGCAAATCACTGCAGCAGCAGCAAAACACTGCAGCAGCAGCGAAACACGCAGCAGCTGCTGCTGCGGCAGGCCGCAGCGCGAGCAGCAGCGGAAGAAACTAGAGCAGATACAGCGGGCAGCAGCTGCTGCGGGAGGCAGCAGCGGGTGCAGCAGCAGAAGAAGCTAGAGCAGATATAGGCAGCAGCAGCTGCTGCGGCAGGCCGCAGCATGAGCAGCAGCAGGGGTAGCAGAGCTGCCTTAGACTATTGTCTAAGGCAGCTGCAGCAGCAGCAGCAGCGGGCATCGGTAGCAGTAGCGCAATGACGAAGAATAGCTAGCCGCAGCCGCAGCCGCAACAACAGCCGCAGCAGCAGCAGCAGCCACAGCCGCAGCAGCAGCAGCAGCAGCAGCAGCAGAAGCGGGCGTCTGCGGGAGTGGGTGTTGCGTGCGGGTGTGCGCACAGACACTGGCGGACCCTCTGTTGATTTCACTGCAGCAAAAAACCAAAGCATAATTGTTTTGGGGGAGTCGGGATCGGGGAAGACGGAGGCCACGAAGCTGGTGCTGAGTTACTTGCCTGCAGCCCAGGGCGACCCCGAGCAGCAGCAGCAGCAGCGACGCCTGCAGTAGCAGCAGCAGCAGCAGCAGCAGCACTTCCCTTAATGGGAATTCCAGATGAGGCCTGCCCAGCAGGTTTCCGCCATCCTGCACACAGCCTTCTCCAAAGAACACGCTCGTCTTGCACTCCACCACCTCTATCTGTGCCTTGTTTCTTCCTTGCTGGGTGTGTGCGAACAGACGCTTAACGGTAAGGTTGCGGAGCTGCCCAGCTTCGCATGTATCATCCCCGATGCAATCGTCCTGTACTACATACACCCTGTCAACTCCGTGCTTTCATGTCCTTGCGCGTTGCTTGCTTGCTGGGTGTTCCGGTGTAAAGCACGGTCGCTGATCTAGCCAGTGCCTGATGTGCTGGCCGTGTATCACACTCTCTCATCTCCGTCTCTTTGTGCTCTTATGTTTTTTGCTTGCTTGGTTTCTCGGTGTATGCAGGATCACTGGCATGCGAATGACATCCAGTGCCGTTGCTGAGCTGCCCATCTTCACAGGTAGTGCATTGCTTCAATGATGTGCTTCTATTGTGGGATACCAGAAACAGCAGTTACAACCGAACCAAAACAGAAAGCAACACCAACGTAGTCCAGCCACACCATTGCGCAACATTCCCAGCTTTACGCAATGAGGATTGCCAGAGTTTGAACACTGAAATGTAAGAACCCTGAATAGCCCGAACTTTCTAACCATAATCATAATGCTCTAAAGCCCCTAAAAAATTAAGCCTAAGCGCTCATACTCTCGGATACACTTTCGTTTGTTTGCAATCGTGGTCGAGAGCGTAACGCTTAAACTTTCCTACAGCTTGACGTTAGGAACCTGTCTTTTCCCTTTATCTTGTCCTATAAAAGACAGTTTCTACCAAAGGCTTGCCAGGCTTTTCGCACAAAGCAGCGAGACCCCTGAGCATATATACATACGCAACAGGCGATACTGCAGTGTCGTCAGCAGCTGCAGAAGCAGCTGCTGGCCTCTTGGACGAGGATGGTGCTGGAACAGAAGCGAACGAAGGTCTTAGCGAGATAAACAGGAGAAGCAGCGGGACCGGGCAGACACGACAGCAGCAGCCTGATCCGACAGCTGCGTAGCTAGCTAAATATTCTCCAGGATTTTGGGACAGGTGTCTTGCAAGCCCATCACGTGGCGACGGCTTATTTTCGGCGAAACCTCCCGCTGCTTCAACGGGATGTGCAGCAGCAACTGTGGCTCCAGCAGCAGCGACAGCAGGAGCACCTGCTAAAAAGCAGTAAGCAATACAGCAGCTGAACCATGGCATTCAGCAGCAGGTGCAGCAGTTAGTTTTGGCTATCAGGGACAAACGGAAGACAGCATGCACCCGTGAACATTGCAGGGGCGCTTTGCGACGAGGAAGCAGTACCTAACGCGAGCAGCTGAACTTCGCTCAGTGAGGAATGCAGCAGCGGAACCATGGCATTCAGCAGCAGGTGCGGCAGCTAGTAAAGTTTGTTTTTTGGGGAATGAATTCAGGCAGGCTCCTGCTGCTGCTGCCCCTGCTGTGGCTGCCACTGTTCTAACTGGTGGAAAGGTGCGCAACAACGGCACCAGCACGAGTAACAGCTGGTGCAGCACCGTGTAAGACGGGGAAATCAGCGTCAGAGGAAACATCAAGTTGTAGGAGAGCTTTTGTAAAACGGTCGGAGGGGAAAAGAAACCAAGAGAAGCAGAGAGGAGACTGCCATTTAGCAACACGCCAGGCGTATGGTTCAGGTTTCAGCGCTCAAGGTTTAAATTGTAAGGTTTAGGTCGTAAAAATCAGTTCCTGACGCCTAGAATTTGCCGTTGTTACGCGTTTTGTTTTGCAGTTGATGTGCGTGATCAGCAGAAGTAGCCCTGCTAGTTGCTCATTTAGCGGCAGCAGCAGCAGCAGCAAGCTCCCTATTGTGGCAGGTGTTTTTTCGCAGGGCTTGGCATCAACATATGCATGTGGTGCAGCAACAGCAAAATCAGCAGGTTCTGCATCAGCTCAAGTGTAGGTCATCACCGGAAACTACTCTCGGCAGCAAATTCGAGGTACTACTGCAAAGTCAGCTAATATCGAAATAAAAGAGAAGAGCAGTGGTAGCAGACCTGTCACAGACACTGTGGGTCGTAATTTGTTTGGGTTTTCTTTCTTTAAATGTATGAGCGATTATAAACAAATTGCACGGGAGCCCTTCCCTCAATGCATGACTGATGATTGTAATGTAAACCAAATCGCAGAGAAGGCTGGGTTTGCTGCTGATGCTGCTGTTCCTGTTGGTGCTCAGGCTGCTGATGCACCTCTGCTCCACATACAGTGCAGCCTGATGCAGCATGTGTAATTCCACTGGTGCGGCTGCCGTTTCTGCTGCAGCTGGTGCTTTTGCACATCCACATCTGCTGTCGCAGTGCCGCAGTGCCGCTGTATCTTTGCAACAGCTGTCAATGCAGTTACCCCTACGGTTTTCGGTGCACCTATTGGTGGTTCTGTTGCCGCTGCTTACGTCACTGTAGTTGCTGGGAAGTGCACTTCATCTGCTCAGCACGTCCCTTGCGGCGAATACTATACGCGTCTCTTTTGAAATATCTCTTTTCGCTTATTTCCTGCAGCAATGCTGTTTGTTTTCGCTTACTTCCTGCAGCAATGCTTTATTGTTTCTGCATGTTCAACACTTCCACAACGTCATGCACTTCACTGAAAACGTCCTTTTTGACCCAACCTCGAGCCACAGCAGACAGCAAAAGCAAGTTTCTCAGTAAGGCTGTTGGTTGTGCTGCTGCATCTTGTGGAATGCTCCTGCAGCTCTTTGTACCGGACATCATGCTAATTCCACCGTGCATGCTACAGCCTCATGGCCTTCAAATGTCCCTCCGTTTCTACAAACTAACTGGTCCTGCTGCTGCTACCGCTGATGCTGCAGGCTTTTCCGCTGCAGCGGATGCCACTATAGCTCCTGCCTGACTTCCTTTTTCTCTTGTTGCTCCTGAATTCTTGCCGATTTCGTCCGATTTTTGCCCTTTTTTCAACCTCCTCTGGGGGTCAAATACTATCTCACCAGCATTCATGCCTAGAAGACCTCTTTCTGTGGTTTGCGCTGCAGCAACAGCACAAAAAAACAACAAACAGTCTGTGTGACTGGGTTTCTTTCTGCTTCTGGTTGTATACAGTTGATACTGCTGTTCGCCGCACTCGCCTTCATGCATCTGTTTCCTACCAACACATATCACTTTTGTCCACTTGAAGTGAATTTCCACACACTGGCTTGCTATTGCAGCCACAGAATGACGCAATCATGCAGGAAGTAGAACGGCCAAGCAGAAGCAGTTGAATTGGCCTTTGCACCAGAAACATCTAAATACTGCTGCCCACACTGTTCACCAACACTACATTTCGTTTGCGCTAGCCAGAAAGAGCAGAATGGCGCAATCATGCAGGAAGTAGAACAGCCAAGCAGAAGCAGTTGAATTGGCCTCTGCAGGAGCAGAAGCTCCAGAAGCATCTGGAACTGCTGCATACACTGTTCACCGACGCTATATTTCGTTTTCGCTAGCCAGAGAGAACAAGGCGCATAGCCAATCAAGCAACATCATTAAGCAGAAATATAGAGAAGCACTAGTAAAGAACAGCAAAACGCAGCAGCTCAGAGCAGCACAACAAAAGAACAACTGCAAGCAGCACCACCGAATAACAGCCTCGGGCAACACAGCCAAGAAGCAGCAGCAGCAACAAAAAGCAGCAACAGACAGCAGCACCAAGTAACTGCAGCAAATATTTTGGGTAGTCTATTTTTCATGCTGTTGTTACTGTCGCAGGCGTCTTGACCCAGCACTCCACATCTGTTGCTGCAGTCCAAATCCCAACCTCATGGCATTCGGCTTTCCACAAGTTTTAATCAAGTTGCTTCTGCCGCTTCTGCTGCTCTTGTGGCTTGTTGAAGAACTGCAGCGGTCTGAGGCCACTGCGACGCATACGGGTGTCTCTTCTGCCCAATTTCTGAATTTCCCTATGCTTTTTCCCTACACCAGATATGATGCAAAACGACCATCTTGTCTATGACACACTCGCCGCCCGAAAAGTTTTCTTCGAATCACGATATAACAGCCGCAAGCAGCACGGAGTAGCAACAGGTGCCAGCACCAGAAAGCAGCAGCAGCAGCAAAATACAAAGGGCAGCAGCAAGCAAGAGCAGCAACACACAACAGAAGGCCAAGACAGCAACACGCAGCAGCAGGCAGCAGCAGCAATCAGCCGTAGCAAATAGCGGCACCGACCAGCAGCGAGCAGCAAGCACCAGCAGCGGCAAATAGCGTGCAGCAGTACGTATCAGCAGCAAGCGGCAGAAGCAAACAGCAGCAGTATGCGACAGCACCAAGAAGCAACAATACGGGACCGCAACAAACAACAGCAGCGAGCAGCAGCAGCCAGCAGCCGTACCACCCTGCAGAAGGAAGAGGCAGCAAACAGCAGCAGCATCAAGTAGCAGCAAGTAAAAGCAGCACCACGTGGGAACACG